TTGGAGTAGGAGCAGTTTTTTTTTTTCTTTCTCATTCGTGTTTCCTTATAGAAAGGGAGGGGGAGTGTGAGACAGAGAGCCTGGGAGATGAAGGTTTTAAACATAAAGGGATTGTTTTGGGATGGAGCTTTCCCTTGTGTGTGTTCACCATTAAAGATGACATTTTTGCCCGGTAAATTGGACCCACGCCTGCCTGCCTTCAAAAAAAACCTACCAGGCTCTTCTGCTTCATGGTTCTGAGTCTCTGATACTTTTGAAATGAATCCTAAAGATCCTCCAAAGAGGATAACACTGCCTAATGGAAAGAATAATGCAAGCGAGAGCCCATGTGAAATGACAGCTGTGAGCCTGGCGCAGCTTTTCGGGCTGATCAAAGCTGCTGGAAAGGGGGGATCAGCCCCCAGCTCCTCTCCCTGCTCAGCCTGAGTTCGTGTTCTGTTTTTGCACTCTTTTCCTGGGTGTTCAAGTGACCCTTGTGAAGGTTCAGGGTTCAGATCAGCRCACTGGGGAGCACCAGGGGTGTAAGAGCTGCAGTGCTGGGGGGTGAAGGAACCTCTGAGCTCAATACCCTCAGCTCAGGGACCCCAAAAAACCCTGCACAGAGCAGTCTGCTGCTCGTGTGGGAACCCTCCAAACATCCTGTGAGCACAGAGACAGAGGTTTGCTTCTTAGGTGCAGTTTCATGGTGGCTTTTATTTTATTTTATTTTCTGTCCTGGTGGCTTTTATTTTATTTTCTGTCCCATGATTTTGACTGTTTTCTGCAGTCAGGTGGTGATTTGAACATTTCAGCTTCCATTTTATTTCAAATCCCTGTGCTCATCACTGAAGTCTGAACATAGGACCTCGGGTGTCCAAATGCTTTGGCCATTAAAGCAGASAAAATACTTTGCATGGTATTTCCTGATGTAAGAACTCATTTCATGATCTTTGTGACTTTATTTTGGGTTGATTCTTGTCTGGTTATAAAGGATAGGGTCGCGTGTGCTTTGGGGATGCACAATATTTGGGGATGCAAAATATTTGGGGTCTTCAAGGCAGAGTAGTGCTGAAGGAGTCAGTGATTCCTCTTGGAGCAGCAATGCAGGGAAAGAGTGCTGACAGCAGGAAGGGAGAAAGAATTCCTGTGTTATTCTGGGAAAGAGTCCTGACAGCAGGAAGGGGGAAAGAATTCTTGTGTAATTCTGGGAAAGAGTCCTGACAGCAGGAAGGGGGAAAGGGTTCTTGTGTAATTCCTTTCTTGTGTAGCCAAGCGCAGGCTGGAGGGCAGGAGAGCTCAGTGGTTTGAGAAGGAATGGTCCCCCCAGCACAGGAGATGGAGATGGAGATGGAGATGGAGATGGAGATGGAGAGATGGAGATGAGATGGAGATGGAGATATGGAGATGGA